TTTAAAAATATAATAAATTCATATTAATAACAAGAATATTACAATAATCAATATTTTGGACTAATAAAAAAATTTAAAAATATAATAAATTCATATTAATAACAAGAATATTTCAAATAAAAAAATAATTGTCAAAGAAAGACATATCATAAAAAACAAAAATTAAATTAAATTAAATTAAATATAAAATATTTAAATAAATCCCATAGAAAGATAATTTACAATTTGTAGTCACTCCTATATTTGTATCCTACTTTTATTTTAAACTTGGGAAACCATAGACCCAATTTGCATCATTTTCTCTCTCATACTGCAACCGAATATTCTTCATTATTTCCGCTTCATTTTTACTTTTATCTACTAATATTTCATTCTTCTCTTCTTCGAGAGCTTGTAATTTTTGTTCCAACTCTCTACTTCAACTCTTTAATTTTCCTTTGTTGATTCACAAAATCAGATAGACTTAGGCGTTGTGTTCCATTTCCACCTCTATTTTTGTTGCATTGAGACAAAACATGATCATATAACTCTTTATTTGTCATTTCAATTCCATTTTTACTATTTTCAGCAACCAAATTCTACAAACGTTCCTATAAAGATTATGAAAACACATTAGTAATACTTTCTTTACTATAACAAAAATGCAATTAATGGAAAAAAATTTTAACCAAAATATATAACATTTATTAGCCATCAATCAAATATTAATTTTAAGAAAACACACACATATATATATGAGATTTTTTAATTAGTGTGCATTTATTAAGGATTTAAGGTACATTCATCCACTAATTAAAATAGAATCTGTAACTATTTTTTTAGGAATTTTGATGAGAAATTTTATATTTCTCACATGCCAAGAGCAAGAATAATTTTAAACCAAAATCCTCTATTCACTAAATTTTCATTTTACTAGTAGAAACAACCTGTAAAAAAAATCAATTCAAAGGATAATCATCTGAGAATTTTATGCTAAAATTTTTACGGAAAACAATAACTTAATTTAAATATTTACACAATATTTATCAATATTACACATTATAAAAACATGTCTCATAAGATTAATACTTTCATACAGTTAAATATAAAGATGAAATACCCACACGTAGCGCGGTCACACCCCTTGTTTCTTAGTATTGTTTATTTCTGGAGAATCTGTAATGCCCTTCGTGGCGCCGAAATCCGCAGGTAACTAAAAACCGAAATTGGGCCTGTAGCTCGAATGGGCTTTCTTATTCACATTGAATCCAATAGGCCCAATCCCTTTTCAACGCTCTGTCCACTGGAATGGGAAACCGAAATCAGGCTTAACTTGCAATTTACTCGCCCTTCGCATTCGAGTTTCAAGTTTCAAAGAAACAACCTACGAAAGTTTCCGACTTTCATATTTTATTCCTATTCGTGCAACCATTGGTTCTTGGAATATAGTAGAACATTTGTTGACTTGGTGTTCCGGTTAAGCTTTTGTGCACCTCTAGAACCACCTTAAGGGCTCACCCGCATAACATTGGCTCGAATCCATTTTCTTGAACACTGACACAAGACTCGAATCCTATATAATGACACTTGTCTAGTTAACCATATAAGAAGTTTACTTTTTAATTAACTGTAGGTCTTTGCTTCTACTTTGTACCAATATTTCTTTGTTGGTTTGATTTTGTGATATATATCCTTCTCTTTTTCCAATCTCTTTTTATATCAAATAGATGAATTTGAGACCACAAATTTAGATATCTGTCCAATAATGATAATGAGGAATTGGGTTTGCGGGGGTTTGCAAGGATCAAATGAAAGTTTTTACTTTTTAAAGTAGTTATTTTAAAGATATACCAAGATACTCAATTGAAAATTTATGCGGCGATCGCATAATTTGATTTTTATATCTCTACCACTTCTGCTTCTGAGTAAGTTCGTGCATGTGAGCAATGCACTTCTAGCTTCTTTCTTTTCTGAATCTGTCTTTTTCAATAGGAAGAATAGGCTTTGTGAGAATCATGAATAAGATTAAGTATAAAGCATAAAAGAGTTAAAAATAGAAGAAAAAAATTAAAAAAAACTAGTGGCTTAGATAAGGCCAATGGATTTAGGAAGAAGTGGTTATACAGTGTTCAGTGAAGAAATCTAATATTTTTTTTTGGGAAAGAAGAATAAAATGTTGGCAGTAAAAGCAAGTTCTCTGACTTCCAATTTGTAGCTGCTCAACAAAGTCAGAAGTTGATGATAAAAACAACATCTTAATCATCTTTTTTTCATTTTTTTTTTTTCTTTTGCTTTTGACTTTGTGATTGTTTGGTTCTTTATATGCTGCTACGCTGTTTAATCTACAGAGTTCTTATCCTAGTCATGTTAAACAGTCATTACTCTTTTTTTCTTATGTTACACGAACTCTTCACTTTACCAAATGGAACCTGTATTTGCCATGATTCTTTTTCCTTTTGATAAATTATGAACTCGATTCTCCATCTCTTCAAAGTAAAGAAAAACTGGGAAATAATTTTGAAGTATCCATGTGGGACGCGTATCTATCTTAATTAGACACTTGATGCCGAGTCTCATGACGTAGATATTCTGTATAAATCATATTTTATTCGTTATCAATATAAGATTCTTGATCATCTTGTTATTTGTATCCAACTGATCAACATGGAAACACACTCCTCAAATTTATGTGTCAATGTCTGCATATAGGTCTACAGCCAAGGGAAGCCAGAACTGCACTATATGGTTTGTGTAGATATAGAACTTCTAATATTCCTAGCCCTTTTGTCCCTAAAATGATATTCTTATTCTCCTAGGCCTCGGAGAAGCATTATTCCAGCAGTACTGAACGGAAAATCAGAAGCAAAGTGACCAAAGATCTGAAGCAGTATCATATGGTTAGGATATTTAATAATAATTAATAGAACTGAGAACTTATTCTTTGGTGTCTTTGCTTAAGTTAGAAACACATCCCAAGAAACAGCATCTTAGTGAAAATGATGTAGATTGTCAAATTTTCTGTTAAACATTTTACCGTATAATTTTTGGACAAACATTTTCTGTGAGCATTTGTTATGTGTTTCAGTGAAAGTACATTTGCATTACTAATTTATCTTTTGGATATAGAAAGGTCTGGTTGTTTCCAACCTTCTGCTGAGACTGGATCCTTGACCTCCAAAGAAACATCCATCCATAACCTAAATGCATGCATGCATTGCACACTCAAACACATAGTAATAAGGAAGGGAAGGTGCTATTCAAGTAGGACCGGAAGTGTAGGCTCCGTTGATATAAGGTACTATTCAAGCAGCACCTGAAGTGTAGGCTCCGTTGATTGGCATCTTCTTTTCAGTGAAAACAATGTGATGAAAACCCAACTTAAGCAGGCAAATTGATGTCCTCACCAAAAGCTGAAAACAGTACTTGTCTGTGTGTGTCTCTTAGTGGATAGACTTTTCAAATGTTTTGCTTCTTATAGTAGTTATATGTATGATGAGCCACTACTAACAGCACCTCCACCACCATTTGTCCCTCGTGTCCCTTTTATTGTGACCAGCACTGGAGATTGGACCAGCCATGAGCCATGAGACCTCCCTCTGCCATTAATGGTTCCTATTCATAAGGAGGCCAAAACTCCATCTTGTTTTGATGCCACGTCCTTTATAGCAGTGAAACTGTAAGATGTAACTATTTTACTAGTCTGTCAGTAGTGGCGTTCACTGTACCCTGTCTCATACATTTATCAGGTGAAATACTGGGTGGGGTTCTGAAAATGATTAATAGATAAAGTTATGATTGAGTGTTTGATTTGTTTCTGAAGGACCACTGGTGATATCATTTTCATATGTTCTGCTCTAGAATGCATATGCGGCGAGAAGAGCTGTAAACAGTTTCTCCAAAAGCATCGATTGCTTTGGTGACATGTGCATGACTGAAAACCCAGGTTAGGATAAGATGATTAAAAGCTGATAATTATTGCATAGTTTGTTTCTAATCTCATACAACTCAAACAAGGAAAGACTTGTTTAACCACCATGGCAACCTGGGGAGCACAGAATTGTAAAAACAGGACTCCTCTTAAAGAAACAGGTTACAGAACTAGCATGGATTGGATTGTGGACTCAGCTCTGAGTTGAGCAGTGTTACAGGCGACTTCCTTCAGCTCCCTCAAAGCAACAGTGAAGGACTGCCAATTTTCAGGTCTGTCAGCATTTGGCGAAGATCAGATGCTTCTTCCTTGAGTCGCGCATTCTCTTGAAGAACCCTGTCATGGGACTCTGATACATGATTCAATTTGTCTATGAGGCTGTGATTCTCATTGCGAAGCCTGATAACTTGTGACCAAAGTTCATCCAGGTGCCTCTGCTTCCGCATCCTTGACCTTCTGGCAGATTCTCTGTTAGATATCATTCTCCGTTGCTTCCTTTCATCGATGATTCTCATTTGGTGTTCTTCAGCTTCATCGGACGTTGAGTTATTGCTGATACTTGAGGACTGTGATGTGAATTCCTGAATTGTTGGGGAGATCTGGGAGTAGGGAAAGTTGCTTAAGAAATTGTTGAATTGAAAAGCTGGTATATTGCTTTGCATCATGCCAAAGTTAGCTGGTACTGGAATTTGGCTTTCAGGAGCTAGAAAGTAGTTTCCAGCGAGCTCACCGGAAATCATGGCTTGAATTCTTAGGCTGATGCTTGAAGAGTTATAACGTATTGCAGTGATTGTTGAGCGGTTGAAGGTAGGAGAGAACGAAATGAATGGAGGGATTTTATAGAGGAAAAAGGGCTTATGACGTAGGCCAATTTGAGAAACAGGAGTAACAGTATCAGGGCTTACAAGAGCAGAGTTGAAACATTTATCAAAATGCCACCATACAGGTTTTCTTACTTATTATGCATGCATCTATTTGCATTGCATCATGTTTCTAAGGGCAATAGATACTACTTCCGTGGCTTGAGCTAGTGACACGTATGCTATTGCTGCATTTATGTATGTATTAACATGTATATGACATGCTATAGAAACTCTGGATTTGATAATCATCTTGAAAATCTGGTATGATGCTTTCACGGGAGAAAAGTTTCTAATGTGGGGAATGCAATGATTTAAACGAGGAATGTTTTGAGAGGAGAAAAAAAAAATGGGAAGGCGAATGAGAAATGGTGTTGAAGTCAATCTCAGGGGAAGTTTTCTGGAGAAGCATGTTAAAAATTTTCAAATCCTCTGGCAGCAAATAACGCCTCATGCTTGGTGACGCAATGAAGTGCAGTTTAAAAGGTAAACAATTTAATAAAACCCAAGTTTCTGTGACCATTTTTATTTTAGTCAGATGACTCACTGAGCACTTCAATGAGAGGCCTAAAAAATCCCAGCAAATCCCATCCTGCAAATCTTACAGTGAACTTAATTGAGCAATTAACATACTTACAAGATTCATTTTTGAGCTTTTTGAGCGTTCACTTGGCTTCTTTTCTTCCTGTTTGCCTATTCTGTTTCGCCACGGCAAAGACTGATGCCATGAATCTATTGAAACTGTTTTTGAGCGTTCTTTTACAAGAAAAAACTCATCATGTATCATTCCCTTGGGCATTGGTGCAATATGACAGATGGCCAAAATAGTTTAATATTCCCTTTGCTCATTTTTAATAGGTTTAATTTGACTTTCTAACTTTTAAAATATAAATTTTAGATGAAAATTTAACAATCTACATTAACAATAATTGAAAAAAAATTTTATTAAATAAAAACACTGAACAAAAACTAAATATAGGGACAAAAAAAATTTCAATTGTTGTTCATATAGATTGTTAAATTTCCATCCAAAATTCATGTTCTAAAAGTTAAAAAGTCAAAGTAGGTCTACTAAGAAGGAAGGGAGTACTTGTCTTAAATTGCTCTCTATTCTTTATCTAATCCATTATGTTATGGATTACAGGTGACCAACGAGTACTGCAGGAGGGTTCACTGACACTTACATGTGGAAACAGTTTGGTGTCTTCCACAGGTTTATCAGCTTTGTTATTCTTTCTAACATATCAGCAATCGACATGTCTACCATGTAAGAATCTAAAGTATCTTATCACAGCAATATTATTTATACCAGAAAATGGCAGTATCTAAATTAATATAATGATATATTTTTTGATATATATATATATATATATTATTAACACATAGATGCTAATCCATATTATATCACTTGAGCCCCACTTACAGCATGATGAGGAAAAATGATAAATAATAAAATAAGATTAGATCAAAAAATTACTGACAAATCTGAGAGGAAGCAGCTTGCAGGCGCATCGTTCTTGTGCTTATTTATTAATTTGAGAAATATTATATTCTATCCATATCTGTTTCTTTGGTCGTGTTTAGGTGATTTGCCACTAGAACTAGCCTCTTGGATTCTTCTAGGGGTTGACAAAAATTAAAGAACATTATTACAATGAAAATCATCCCAAAAAAAAAAAAAGGGGGGTTGGAGATGATACACTTTGGACATCCTATGGAGAATATTCTAGTCTCTAAAGTTTAGTTTATCATTACAACTGTGCATGAATCCAAGAGGAGGACTGCTATAATGTGGATTATGACAAAAAATCGAAGTTAGTACTACTTAAATGAGTTCTTAATTTTATGACTTCCTAGCTGGTTGCTTGACATGTTATTTCTTTTTAGGATAATTTCAAATGACATGAAGTTATTAGGTCTTGAGTACGTTGTAATAGTATGCCTTAGCTGTTGTGGGGTAGGATTAGAAAAACGCTGGTTGTCAAGCTCAGCAATAAAGAGATGATTGCTAAATCTTGTACTGTTTGAGAACAATGTTTAGGTGATCATTTGGATAAGGTGTTGAAGAAGAAAAACCAGGAACTCTTTTTATTTACAGTATGTAAAATGTGCATATTTTCTAGGTCAAATTTGGATAATGGAGGCATTTTTCTCTTACGGGCCGGCCTCTCCCTCCACAATTTTCAGGTCTCTCAAGCATTTGAAATTTGAAGCAAATTTCAAATCTTGTCATAAATATGACAATCTGCAAAATTGAAGGAGAAGAATCAAAACAAAAACTTCCCTAGGGACAACTGCAAAATATAAAGCTGCGAAAAGGGAGTTGGAATTGACTGAATGTAAGTTTTGTGGGGGAAAACATTTACAAAGTTCAGATTAAGCCATTGCTACAAGTACATGCCATTCATGGAAGGCAAACAGGCAAATTGGCCAGTCATCCATGATTTCAGGTTCAGAATATGAGAAAAATGATACGCATGTCAATAACATTTGATGCATGTAGAGTTTCACTTGTCTCTCAGTAATGTGCCATAGGCCCATAGCAGAAGTAGAAATTGATAATGCATGAAGAAACATCTGAGAATCTGAGATATTTATGAAAATGGATTCTTCCGAGTATTCATATATATTTTCAAATTTTGTATAGATTGACAGTAGATTTCAATCCATCAAGTCTTCAAGGCAACCAAGATGCCAAAAATATCTGGTTTTCAATTGTGAGAAGTACTGCCTTGCAAGAAAAGACAGGAAAAAACAGTAGTGGTTTGAAACACAAGAACATGCATGAAGCATTTTAGCACAAAGTATTAATCCTGTCCTCTCCATAATTGGACCTCTGATTTTCAATTCATGAAAATGCCTTGATTTGATTAATCATTGGCACAATGGGGCTGAGCTAAGTCTGGGGTCCTACGCATTAAAGAAAACAACAAAAGTTTGAAAAAAGTAAAAGGAGATAAAAGGGATCATTCATGGCTCACATTTTGTTCTTCCTTTAATCTTCATACATGACTGAGTCTAGATGTAGCCATAGGTAGTATGCAGATAAAGGAGAGGGGGCACCACAAATGTGGAGGAAGTGCTGGGTACGGAAGGTGGCTGGATTTAACAGCAACCAATTTGGTGCTAAAACATGGGTTCATAGGATAGCAGCACTTGAATTTGAAACATATAATTGCGCTATTGTGGGTGCTTTTCTACTAGTGGCCCTTTGGTGCCCATTTGACCCTCTCCTCCTCCCTCCTAACCGTCCTGGGTGTGGCCACCCCAGATCTTCAGGCCTAAGATCGTATCAAACAGTTTAAACTTTAATTTAAGTTGAGTGATTCTTTATCTGAATATCAATATGAATGAAATTTGCTAATTTGATTGTGTTTCACCACCAGGTAGGGATCAGCAAGAGTCTATGGAAAATTTTTTGACCACAGGCCACTGAGGGCAGCACCTGCTTAATTTGAGAGTTTGGGGTAACCTTTTCTTGACTTTATTCATCATGAACTTGCAACATTTTAGTAACATCAATCTGTACCATGTGTGCACTGTCTCCACTTTTCCCCCACTCAACCAACCCAACTTTTTTCTTTTTCTTTTTAATTTCTTCCCGTTTCAAATTCTTCCCAGAGCTCATCACATTCTACACTGATTGGTTCAAATAGGATAAGCTCATCATCATCTTTCTTCTTCAGCTTAGTTTAATGACCCCCCATATCTAATTAAAATCCATCTTGCCATTTCATATCAATTTTTTATGCTGATATCTTTAACATCTTTTTGGTTAATTTGTTTTAATTGGTGGGTGGTGCATCTAGAAAACAATACAGACCAGGCAGACACGCATGTTTATTCGTGCTGGCATATCCTATAATTAAGGTCTTCATCCACTAACGATGTGGATACTGAAGTTGTTTAGGTGATCTAAAAAAATGGTTTTGGTTAATTAGCGATTTGATTATTTTAATTTGAGGTTATCTTACTTAAGTCTGCCACTAGTCGAACTGTGACAGCTCAAGTGAGGTTTTTACTTTCTTCCACAGCCATTCATCAATCATTATTGGATATTTCTTCGTCAAAGGAATTGGCATGTCTCTATCATATTTATTCATTCTTCCTAGTACAACCCTAAAGTCAGTGTATTGCCAAAACTCATAACCAGTAAACGTGCACAGTGACCAATGTCTATCCATCAACCCTGAATTTCTTCACATACTTCCAAAACTGATAAATCTCAGCTCTTTATGCTAACTGATAGGTCGTTTCTCCAAAAATATATCAGCATCAAGAGATTGATATCTTAATTCTTAACCATGTTAAATTTAACACATCATTTGAGTTTACTGTAGTTATGATGGAGAAACTGATAAAGTCTTCTTCATGTATCATGAGCCACAAGTTTCTGTCCCACGCATAAGACTGGCCAATTCATATACGACATCAAATGCCTAAGCAATAAAAACTCAGGCATGGCATTGTGGAGATGTGCCGATGCTCTTTACCTATCATCATCATCTTTGAACCTAACCAAGAAAGTTGCGTAAGCACGTCAACTTCAGAACTTTGGTGTCTCCATTAGCAAGTAAATTGCATCATGAGAGGTAGCTTAAAGTTCCCAATTGGGGTTAAGTAAACTAAACCATGGTTGCAAATATGTGGCATTCAACTGCTATTTCCATTATAAACTATGATTTGTTCTGATAAGGCTGTTTGATCTCAATTGTGATTGTTGATTTCTGAATTTCTATTCTACTGGATATACTCAATATTAACCCTGTTTGAACTAGACCCCTGTAGTTATGATGGATGAAGTGGATATGACTCTTGCATTCTAACAAGTTCCTCATTTGGTCAAGTGCTAATTACCAGACAAAACCAAAGCCAGCCCACAAAGGCCAAAGGCACATATGAAAGGTCTTTAGTGGAAATCAGTGCATCTTTGATTGCATGAGGGGACACTTGAAGACAATTGGCCTCCCCATTTTTGAATAGGACAAAGTTGTTTGCATTTTCTTTTACCTTTGTCAGACATTGAACAACAGCCACATTTATCAGCTCTGTCCACAATTCAACATTGCTTGCTTTTTCTTTCCATCCGTTCTTTGTGATGCGTGGTCACTATGTTTAGTGACTAAATCCATCTTTAGATTCATTAAAAATTTGTGACATATATGCTTAGTTATTTTTCTCAATACTCAATGAATCATGTAAAGTCCAATGGATGGTTCACAATTTTTGGTTAGGTATTAGTCAATTGATAAACAATGAATCGGCATCTAAAGATTTCCCAGGTATATAAAACTGCAAAAATTAATAAGGGAATAGAGAAAGGTATACCAACAATTTTAGGCCGGACAGGTACACCAACAATTTTAGGCCGGACAGGTACACCAACCAGAAAATGTACTTGGTACATAATGAGAAATTTACTCTCATGTTGTATATTATTCTTTTGAACAGATTTAGGCAAGATTGTGGTATGTTCAACTGCCGAGTTGCCCAATCCAGTCCCAAAGAAACTTTTCCGGTTACAACAAAGTTTCTTATCAATCATGGAGGATCTTATGATATCTGTTATGTTAGGATTTCTAGGAGAAATGGAACTATGGTCCGTGTTCATCCATGTGGTCCAATTCCCACTTGTAGCTTTGAGATGTACTAACTAAAAAGCTCTACTAAATCAGATATGTGAAAATTTAACAGATCTCAGGTCCGCCAATTTTATGAAGTTCTGTCAGTGTTTATTACAATAATAGAAACAATTCTCTAATGAAGGGAAACTATAGAAGTAGAAGATATTATTGAACAAAACTGCATGGGGATTACGATATATACATGTCCTTGGATTTACTAAGCCCATTTAGCCATCAGTGACATGCCCCCTGCACCTAGTAAGACTGCAACATATGCCCGCATCTGGAGCTTCATACTCCCTTGAAGCTTAGGCCCCATAAAATCAGATGCTAAGAGATCTACCAATGCCATGTAATTCAGCAGCCCAGCTGAGCAAGCATTTAGGATCCCCACCACAATGAGTGCTGTTGGGCTGGTCTCACCGTACACATTCGACAGGGCAATTCCTAGAGCAATTCCAAATGGAGTCATGGATGCAAACAAGAATACCATTGTTGCTTTCATCTTGAGTTTATATTCGGACTAGAAGATTCAATGTTCAAACAAAGAATTTAATGCAAAAGGAAAAGGAAAAACCTTCATATGGATTAAGGAATAATGGGTTTGGCATATTTAGAAATCACCTGCAGTATGCATCCACCAAGCCCCATTCCTTCAAAGAGTTGGTGGAAGCAAAGTGCAGCAATGAGTGGTCATATGGTGCAGAAATTGTCTGAGGCCCCCATTGCAAGACCAATAACCACTGAGTGAACTACAATTCCCAACTCTAGCACCTGCACAGAAACAAAACAAAACACAGTAAATTGGGACAAAAATTCAAACATAGCATGTGCACATTGGCCTAATCTGGGTCCAAGTCACTACTAGCCTAACAACTCTTGTGATAATGTGATTTCTTACCGATGCATAGCTAGCATTCACAAAAAAATACTAGTACACAAATATACTAGTTAGAAAAGTAGTACTTCAATTCAATCTTGCTGAATATACCTGAGCAATAACACGATGCCGCATTAGTGACTCTGATTCTTGCTCGGATTCCCTGTGACCTTTATTACTCTGGTCATGTCCAAAATTCTCCATATCTCGGTTTTGCTTTTCCACTCTGTCACTCCTGACGGTCAGAACCTTATCTCCTCTAACTCTCTTTTTATACCAACTCATCGCCAATGAATCCACCATGAGTGTCACCACAGCCGACAGCATTGCCACGATGTTGTGAAAGGGAACTTCCTCCATGGATTCTCCGGTAAACACGGCGACATCAAGTCGTTGAAAGAATCCGGCAGCACGTGCATGTACCCAGTCGCCAGTATAACGCCGGAGGCAAATGCCTTAGCCAGCAAGAATAAGTTCCCGTTGGGGTGAAGCACCGGCGCTAACCGTGAAAGTAGCGGCAAGCATACCCCAACCGCACTCGCAAATAAAATCGAACAAATGGCAATGATTTTCAGTTTCAACGATTTTTCCTTGTCATGGCATTTCCGATCAACGGTATCAGATTCACATTGCGCCAGCGACGGTGTCACGAGGGCGAGGATGAGGACGAGAAGGAACAAGATGAGTGGACGGTGGTTTCTCGCCGGAGCCATTGATGATGGTAGTGCAGTTGCAGCTTGAGTGAATCAGTGAACTCTCGCCAAAACAGTATTTAAAGATTCTGTTGGAGGAATTTGAATTTTGACTGGTAATCATAATGACTATAATACCCTTACTTATTGAAGAAATTGCGTTCTGAGATGCTGTGTTAGTGTAGTAGATTTGGGAAACGTAGGGCTATTTTAGAAACGTGGACTGGAATGTAGAATCATGCCTCCGGCTTGTGTTAGGCATGGTCCACCATGAAGTTTGACTGCTCCTTTTCAGCATGTCACACGTCAGACTCTTCTTTTTTATTTTTTCTGAGGTGGAATATTTTATGATAAAAAAATAAGGCATTAAATTAGAGATAATTCTTTTATATTATTTTTTAATATAATTTTATTTATTATTTAAATAATTAATTTTTTTTATTCATTTGAATTTTTAATTTTATATATTTTTATTTATTTAATAATAAATAAAAATTATACAAAAAATTTATCACTTCGTAAAAATAAAATAATTGCCACGTCATAAGGGAAAGGACGGTGGACTGGTTAATCCGTTAATGGGCCTGTTAAAACGCATTGGCCTGAATAAAAAAAGAGAAATAATTTTTATACAATATTTTTGTTTTATTTTTTATATAATTTGAGATATTATTAAAATAATTAATTTTTTTAATTTATATAAGATTTATAATATTAAATAAAAATTAATATTTATGAATTTTACTTTTTAAAGATTAAAAGAAAAATTATTTTAAAATTACATTATTTTAATAAATTTTTATTAAAAAAATTAAATTATCTTATTTTTAAAATATATATTAAAATAATTTTTATTTTTTTTAATTTTTTAAAAATAAACAAACAACTATCCACTCTTATTAAATATATTCAGCTGTTTAATAATATATAAAATTATATAAAAAGATTAGATAAAAAAATTATTGGTATGCTACTATAAAAAATAAATAAATAAAATAGGGCTATGGGCCCAAAAACAACTGTCAGAAACAGCTAAAACGATGAGGCGCGCGAACGGCTCCCACTCGATTCTTATCCATTCTCCTCGGGAGAGGAAACTGAAACCTCTCAAGAAACTCTCCGGTCTGTGCCGGGGATGCTCGCCGTGAATTCTCATATGCTTCTCAGAAGCCAACTACGTTTTCTAATATGCTTCTCAGAAGCCAACTACGTTTTCCATTCTCATGCCTAAAGCCGAAATCTCACCAGAAGAAAGAACTTTACCTAGCAAGAGAACCATCCCTAACTTTCCAGCTTTTCACTAGAAGAAGATGTTTCCTGAACTTTGATCGGAAGGTTTTGTTTTCTTCTATTTTCTTCCGATTCTTGAATCACTGTCGTTGTAGTTATGGTTTTGTATTTGTTTTGGTTTTCCGATTTGCGGTTTTGTTAGATCATGGGTAATGGTGTGAAGTTTGAAGGTCCCATTATGGATGTAAAAGAATTGGAGAAGATCGAGGATGATGATTTAGTGGTGGAGACCTGCATTGTGCGTACACTGCCTCCGGCATTGACGCTGGAGGATGGGCTCCAGAGTATTAATGAGGCTGTGGAACAGTTGAAGTTGAATCCTCCTTCTTCGAGTGGGATGTTGAGATTTCAGGTGAAATCCAGTGGAACTTTGAAATCATTGATTTTCGAAATTCTCGATTTTGTAGATTAGTACGTGATTATTCTTATGAAATGTCTCAAACTATTGTGTATTTTTAGCAATGTGGATTAATATAGTGAATTAGATTCTTAATTCTTGTGTTGTTATTTATGGACGGATGGGGATTGTGGTTATTTGTTATTATCATTGTGCATTTTGCTGGACTAGCACCAAAGTCATGTTGCCTAAGATATTCAATATCACTTGGATTTGCAGGTTGCCATACCCCCGAGTGCAAAAGCTTTAAATTGCTTTTGTTCTCAACCAGTTTCATCGGCAGTCTTTCCTTTGTTCTTTCTTTCTAAGGAGAGGAACAACCCAACATATAAGTCACTGTTCTTGAACAGAACTGGTGGAGTGTTTGGAATTGGAGCTGCAGTTTATTTTACAGACTCTTCTTCTTGTTTCCCTGGAAGCGAGAGTTTAATCAAAAGGTTATGCTTGTCTCACTTGTGGCTTTCCTGTTGGTAGTGAGTTTGATCATAAAACTTAATGGAATTTTCAGGACAAGAAAGTTACATGATATTCTTAGCATTGGGCTAATTAATGCTAGTTTTTCTAATGAGTTGTATTCAATTAAGTATTAGCTTAAGTTCTTATGGAAAAACAAAAAATTTTATAGGTTTGCACAACTTTTGTTGAGAAGCCCATAAGTCATCTGTGATGGTTTATCTTGTTGAACAATGATGAAGGAATGCATGATGCATCTAGTTGAACAGATGGTTTATGTTTAAGATCTAGTGGGGGTAAAGGAAAACATCTATAAAAGCTGTATGATGATAGTGCCAGAAAGCTTCATATTGTAGTCTAGATACTTATATTAGAGGTTCTATTCTTTCCATTATCATGGGACCTTTGTGCTCATTTAACAGCCAATATGCCGAATATCTTCCAATAGCATATTCCAAACAGAGTCCCTTGGCACAATTTTACTGTTCTGATTTAGTAGCTAGATATCTTCAGACAGTATATCACAAATGGAAAACTTTGTAAATGTAGCTGTTATAAACAACAAGCAATGAGAGTTGACACTTTAAATTTATTTTTTCTTGAATTACATTACAGGTTTGCATTATTTTAGACTGAATTCCTTTTCCAAATTTCATATTTTTAATAATTCTCCCCTTCTAGGTTTTTTTGCTGCTAGGTATGTGCTTTTGTTTAGAAGTACTTTGTTGTTTACAGCAACGAACTGGCCAAATTAATTTTAAATAAGTTAAAAATATATGATAGTTTTTATTGCAGATATCTCTCAAGTGATTCAATCTTTGCATCAATTTATGGTTTTGTGGATATTAATTTTGACACAAAGTCGTCTTCTGTGAAGCATGATGCTGGTTCCTTTTACTTCTTTATTCCTGTGGTAAGCTTGAATTTTTACTTGCACCTCATGGCATTTTCTAATAACTGAATTATTCTCCAGGATCACTAAAGTGTGATTGTTATATAATTCCTCTTTATAATTTGAGCTTCACCAGAAAGTAGAACTGATCTATTTATGGTTCTGTGAAAAAACTGTTTAATCAGATTGAGTTAGATGAGCATGATGATGTCTCTATTTTAGCAGCAACGCTGGCATGGAGTGATTCTTGCTTGTGTTCCTTTGAGGATGCTATTCTTTCATATGAATTGGCCTTTTGTCAGGTAATCAAATATTTACATCCTTGACCCTCATCATGCGGCAATTTGATTGGTTTTTTTCAAAATCTTATTTGGGTTTTAGTTCACCCAGTTGCAATGTTATTCCAAAATGGTGTTCACTCTTTCCAACTCCTCTCTGTGTTTTTCTTTTCCAAAATCACCGTCTTTGTTGTTTAATCTTTTTCAGGTCCGCTCTCATTTTTTGCCCACTACAGAGAGATTTCACTCCAAGCATGTGAGATCTGCTATCAGGAAACTTAATATGGTTGAGGATAAAACTGTAGAAATGGTATGCATCCACAATTTGTTTTCTTCTTTAGCTTTTATTTTTCCTTGGTGATAATATAATACATTGTTTGTGCTGGTCAATTTTGGTTTTAATTTTTACAATGTTTATAGCAGTATCCACCATCACTACTTGTATTCTTTAGCTTTGGATTTCTATTTGAACCTGATGTAGGGAAGCATGATAAACGTCTGGTATTTAATGTGAGCCCAGTCTTTTTAGTTTACGTCTTTCCAGTCTCACCTGTAGGGGTTTTGTATTTATATTGTTGTGAGCCTCCTTTTCTTTTGAAATATTGTGGCATGCTGTAATCAACCATGTAATATAAAGTTTCTTTGGTAAGCAAAATCTATTAATAGGAGTACAAAGAGTACCCCAACCCTCACAATGCGCATCTCAAATATAATACATTGAAACAACAAAATGCAGTTAAGGGCAGACACCACCTAAAAAAATTAAAAACATCAGGGACAGGTTGGTTTGCTGTAGAGCAAAGGCCGGGAAACCAGCACCAATCACTGAAGCTAAAGGAAGACCAGTCAGATTTGTTTTTAATCCAGCAATAAGTTTTGGTTTGAGTATAAAGTAGTTGCTTTGTCCTGTGCTCATCAATTTTCTAGTCTTCCATTTGAAGATAGCAGGCAAAGAACTGATATATTGGTCAACTACTTTTATGCAAATTGAGTTTATCCCTAGAAATGAATTGACTCGAGGGTTAAGTTATTGATTTCTATATTCAAGTGTTGTTGATCACAATGGTTTGCTAGGTGTCTGTGAAAGCTCTCTCGTTGGGCAGAAGCAATTTTGGAGCTGACCCCATGGAACTGGTATCCCCTTTTTCCTGTTAATTTTCATCCTCAATATTTCTTATCCCAAACTGCTTTTGGTGGGCTGTATTTGTTGAATCTTCATTGGCTAGAATTAAAATCAATTATATGTTTATGCCCTTTGTCAAACTATAATCGCTGCTTATTTGAACTGTAATTTTCTTGTTCCTGCAGAGAGAGGCACCATCTTTCTGCCAGTTCTCTTTCAAGTTTTCACCAACAGTTGGTGTTGCCAGTAACATGGTACGCTTCTTTGAATTTCAGTTTGCAAGAGCTACCTTGTTTCTGCACCATTTGAGGATGGTTGAAATAAAAGAAGCACTTACAGCTTGCTGCATGCTAAGTTTGAGAAGAAGGATAGCAAATGTGTATTATGTTGGACTTTCTAATTCTACCATGTTCATATGCGGGGTTGGGTAACATGGGAAATATCATGTTTGCTATTACTGTTAGTATGTGAGTTGCTCAGTTTATTGAACAATTAATGACATCTCAACCTACTAGTATAAGTTGTAAAGATACATGGTTGGTAAAAAGAAAAGTTGTAAGATGCATGGAAAATTACTTAACTACCTGTTAGTTTTGGTGTTATATGGCCCAAAACTGATGTTTCTGCACTACTTTTCTGTGCCCCAGAATAACACTTGTAATGTAATGCCTGAAATTAAACATTTTAAAATGTTACAA